TTTAACGAGTGGGATGTATTTTATTTAGTTATAGAGCACCGAAGTTTGGCTTCTAAAACTCAAAGGGTGAAAGGTTCATTGGTTTCTAACGATTTGCCCATATGTGCTTACTTAGACTTTATGCATTGAAAATAGTACATAAATGAAAATTCATTTAAAATTGAAATGAGTTTTAACATTCAGCGATATGTTCATGCGCATAATCTCAGGCAACTCATCGAGCTCATTGCCGAATAACGCAGCCTACAAAGATTAAGTTATGATATTTAAGTTTTCATTTTCAGTAGATTGATTTCATCAGCCTATCTGGACGAACACTCGTGGACGTGTAATGAAATGGAACGTACATAATATTAAATAACTTCGGCAAAACAAAACTCGGTTCAGAAAATGCGTACATGCCAGCGATGTAGGAATAATAATTTATGTAATTTTTTCGGCGAATTTATAATCTTGCAAATTTCGGTCACCAACTCAAACAATGAATTTTCGTCCTCAATGTTGATGTGATACGTCACTATTTTTGGCAGTTTTGTTGATACTTTGTCATGCGTAAAGTCACTTAAACACGTATTTGATTTTTGTTTTAGTTTTGGCACCAAATTTCAGAGATAAATATAAAGCAGGGCATACAAACATTTCAAGATTTACAAATTTCCTTAGACTTAAATTGAACTTTATAGGAGGATAATAATGATTTGTGGGTATGAATTCAAAAATTACATTAAAATTTGAAACTGAACAATTTTCTGCCGTCTAATTTGCGGCAAAATCAGAAATACTCTGAAAATTTATGTGGGAAATTATAATTACGAACAGGAGAGTGGAGCAGCAAAAGAAAGCTCGTACAAGCAAGAAAGTTCCTCAGTTCAGTTTTTTGCGTAACAAAATTTATAGGTCTCAATTATGCACGTACTTATGCTCAAAAATAGACAGCGATGCAAAAAATAGTTTTTTCTGCACAAGTCTACGTTACAAAGTTAATTTTGACAAAACAGCTGCACGGGATTTTAGAGTAAGGCTACAGTTTTTACTCAAGTTCAGTCTATTTATGACTCGTATGATCTCGTCTTTATTTCCTCTGCTGGTATGTTAATAATAGATATGGATACATCACATCCGAGTCTCTCGCATGTTGCGATGTGATGACGCTTAGTCGTCTTTGACTGAACATCTAAACTTCAGGCGATCGTTTATCTGCGACGTTCCGTTTACGCGATGGCAGACTGAAGGAAATCCAATAGGCTCACGGGTCTGACGAGCCGCAAGCAGCTTATGCCGTCAGAGACGCTGTAATGGCTGACAACATCCACTCTTGAGCAATTTTGCCAAACGACGTCATGAATTTTGGCCGAACATTTCAGGGACTTCAATAAAGTGGAAAACGTTAAAGGCAGACCAAGTTCTCAGGGTTTCAGCGTGCAGTTAGAATAAAAAAAAAATCAAATTAGTTTGAGCGATGACTCGAAAAACTCATCGCCTTTGTTTGCACCATCGCTCATAGGAAATTGTGATTTATCCTTTAATGTCTCTTCATTAAGATATATTCTGGCAATGAATAAAGTTTTTAGCGTAATCTGAAATTGAGCGGAAATTCATTAGCTGTGAGCATAACTTCTCTGATATCAAATATGGCAGTGGAAGAGTGAATGACTTACGCCACGTGCAAAGTTCAATTACACCAATATGAGCAATTCAACCTTGTTAAACGTTGTTCATGCTAAGAATGTTGTAATTCTCAATAATAATTTTTATATGGGATAGTTTCCATTTAAATTGCGACCCAGCCAGTTGCCCCAGCAAAAATTAGATTTTTTCTTAGTAAAACTCTGTTGTTGGAACTCATAGAAACCTAAATTTGAATAAACGAAACACACAAACACACAAAATCTAACGACCTTTTAATTAAACGAAAATATACGAGTATATTGAAGTGTGTGTGTTTAGTTCATCTGAACCTTCCATGCCGCCTTGTTCCGATCACACGTCGCACCTCATGGAAGTTGTGCGTGCCATTGCACGCCAAGCGAAAAAATGAATCATTCAGATTTTACATGGGCCTAAAGTCCGATCCACTGAACTTTATATCCATTCCAATCTATCGGTAAATTATTGAAAAAATTGACTTAGGCACGTCATTCGTCATTAATAAATGATGAAAAGAGACGTAAAATGTTAGCATAAACATGACAGGCGAAGTAATTTGTGAAAAAGTTTATTGACTCCTAGGATAAGCTTTGATTTATAATGAGCTCGTCGAAAGCGGTGGGAAGTTATTGGAAGAATCAGTCATCTTCGTAAAATAATTTATATGCAAATTCAAGTGTGTCGTAGAGTTAAGTCATTAGGTATATGCTGTCGCTGGAGTTTAGAGCTTAATATCAAACGAACACAGCTACAACTAAGCACAAACATGTAATTTCTTTTTAATTTCATTTGACTCCGTCTGCATTTTGCTTCGTACACCATGCATGATATTTCTGAATAACGTAACTGCTCTCAGATTAGATTACGAATTAATTCCAATTATTTCACAAATTACCATTCATTGAGAATTAATTTATTGCAAAGTTGGTGTAAGTTTTTGTACAAATACTGACAACAAAACGCTACGATGTCGAATCTAGTAATTATTTGCAAATGCAAATGCAAATAGTTACTTTGTTCCCCTTTCAACTTTACCTGAACTTCATTCGAGAATAGCTGTGTCAATAGGTGAGTAATTCAATAAGATTTTTTTATATCACTCGGTTGGCATTAAATAAAAGCAGCAAGTGTTTAGAAAAGGCAAGAAATATATCGACTGGTTTCTCACACATTTAATCAGGTATCATTAAGACTATGATTTCACCTGGCACATCGACATCTCTAGGAAAAGATTCATATATCAAATCTTTGACACACTTTACGCTATACTCCAAGTGTCGTGGAAAAACTTCTGTTACAGAATGCATTTTGGATTCATAGCTGCCAGTATGGAACTGTTTCGAGATACTCTTTAGTTTTATGTTTAATGGTAATTTATTAATGAGGACTGAATAAAATATTCTGTTTATTGATGGTGAATGCAGAGACATCGCGCAAGGCGCGCACAATAGACAAGGTGACTGGGCAAATATTGATTAAGAAAAATGAGTTTACAGATTGGAATTAATGCGTCGGAGATAATACCGTCTAGTAAGTGACACATAGCATTTATCTCATAAATTTACAAATATATGTACATTAAAATAATACGCTGAAAAAGATAAATAAATTCTCTGGTAGATTTTTCTTATTATACGCTTTAGGAGTGCGTTCAACACTAAGAAAGATAGGTCGTCCATTTTTTAGCATTAAATGCTTAATTAAATCAGTTGCCAAACTCTCGTACTAAGGGACCGCGAGAAAAAGCTCCTCGAGCTCATTTCATATTTACACGACAAATTTACACTAATTTTATAAAACAACAATGATACACCGACTGCATTCGCACACATACAGAAACGCTTATCAGATCAGTCTGCAAAAAAATAATGCTATCAAGTGTTAATTGGTGAAGTTCGCCAGATGTTGTTTTTTAATGCCAGTTCGTTTGTATAGAATGCATTTATTAAAAATTTTGATTTTCATTTGTTCAATGAGTCGAACGGTGTTTTTCGCTGGCGGTGATAGTATTACAGTATATAATAAATGATAATACGTATTACAATGCAGATATTGAGTAAAAATCTGTTAGCAGTGAATATGTTTGTTTAATTTTATCTATGCAGTCCTATTGATACCAACCACAGTGGAAAATATTGATCGACTCTCTGAAAAACGAGCAGGAAAATTCGTTATGAAATTAATTCCCTGGTTTTCAATAGAAATAGCATCAAGTGGGAATGTAAAAAATAAAATTAAAAAACAGCTTATTGCCATATTCATATTTTGGGATTTGGGATATTCCAGACGCCATATATAGTCTTTGAATATTGTAGCATTGGAAGAGCTTTGCAAACATAAGAATTGATTAGTTTGAACGTACATAGGATAATTATGTTAAATAGGATAACTCTATTATAACAATTATCGCATTTGCCAAGAAATTCTATCATCAAATCTTCTTTTGAAATTTTGCCGACTGCAATATTTTATTAGAAGTCGACTTTGTCGACTTCGATATTCGCTAAAAGGAATTTTACGGTTAACCTTAACATTTTGACTCGTAGGAATTCGCCATTATTCATTGTAATAATTCATCAGGCGCAAATTTTGAATTTTGGTTTCTAGATAATTTCAGAAAAAAATTAAATTAGCAAAAAATCCAAATGAAATTAAAAATTTATGTGTCAACTCTAAAAAAATTGTAGGCAGGCTAGAATACCTGATCTAACGTTCACATTGAACAACGGACATCGAAGAAATGACATAGCGAAAAGTTTGGTGAATATTTCTTGACCTTTCAAAAAGTATTTGCTGACCATCTCTGTTTTTAGGCGAAAAACCACCTGGAAAACAATCGCCTGCATGTTTTTTTTTTTCGCTGGTCGCTCACATAGGAATTACACAGGACATCGTTCCTCTATAACTAACCGTAAGTACTCCTTACCCTAAAAATATGGACACTGATCTAACCGACTAATTTCAAGTAAACCAACACATTGAGAATGTATACGGTTTAGGTTTATGGTATAACTATATGGTATGAAATTACAATGTCGACCACGCGCTAGCAACAAAAAATTAGATAAAACAATAAGAAAATTTTCAGCCGGTCGCAGTTACTTTCCATATTTATCGCGTACAATTTGTAAATTTTCCAGTTATTTAATACCGCTGCATTAAGACACTAGAGGATCTAAAAGCTGAAAATTTAAACTTGTTCACAGTTCATCCAAATTAAGTATCGTACAGAGAGACATTTCAACTAGTCAAATTTAACTATAATTTTTTTTAAATTAGCTCTTTGACAGAATGAATTTTTCACGTGTTACTGTATTTTTTTCATACTGAATGCTTTAATTTGATAATTTAAAAATAGAGATTTACAATTTTAAGCATCATGTGATAACAACGCGATAAATTAATAGAAAACCTACAGTTCACTTCAAGCACTTAAATGCAATTTATCACAACATAAATATAGATACAGAGATTCAAAACGCCGGTGTTGCGAGCACTTCTGAGCGGTGAAGACAAACAGGTAAGAATCGAATTAGAATCTTTCTATAATCAATTTAGAAGTTTATTTATCTTCCACGCATTCAGTTTATGCTGGATTATGCATGATAGTGTCTGCTTACAATCATGATTTTCGCAGCTTACTCTAAAGTGAACCTCGGCTTAACGGGGTTACAATTTTAGTAATTTAAAGGGGTATCAATCTCACATTTATGGGTGGGCCTTAACTTATTCTCGAATTGATATCACTAGCATTATGTCCATAAAATGGCATCGTATCTTTGGCATTAATAATTAGGTACAAAGACAGTTCACCTTCCATGTCGGTCATATAAGAACTGCATCTTATTGGGACAATCCTGTAACGCAACTAGGAACAGAAGCATGAGATGGCAAACTCTGATTGAGAGAGGAAATCATATTAAGTTTTTCAGCGTACCTTTTAGTAGAATATTTACTACATGAAACGACTACTTGAGTATAAACGTAATAACGTTTGAAATGTTGTTTGGTTTCAATTGATCTTATTTCTTTATAATTATTACCGTTTCTAGCACTCAATTGTGCTTGGCATTTGCTTTTGGCCAGGCTGCTAGACTTAACTTAGCACATTGAATTTTTTAATACTGTATAAACTTGAATTAATGAATCAAAATTTATAGTCGTGTTATTATGATAGTCTGATAAAATTTCCCATTAGAATATAAGACTTCAGTTTCATTAATTGTGGCACTTTTTCATCTCTACTGGATTTCATGTATTCATTTCCTTTTATAATATAAAAAAAGATTGTGAGAAAAAATCTCCGACAACAATTACGTTCACTTGATTGTTTAAATAATCAATTAACCACGAATTTAAAAATAGATATAATTTGTAGAAACGGAAAATCTGCTCAATGTTCTTTGCGTGTAAATTCTAAATCTTTGAAAATCTTTGACAACTGGATTCATGGAGCATCTATGACAGTCCTGCAGCATCAAGCTTCCACTCCATGAATTCAGTTGGACTTTGAACGTAGGCAAACCAACCGAATCTTTCGGTCTTGACTAGTGAGAGCGAATCCTATTGGCTTTGCTGACTTCTAATGGACTTCCAAGTGCTCATTCTCTTCCTTCGGACTGCGACTGAAACATTATATATTTCTTTTGGATTTCATTTTAACACAGGGACTAATGTAAACATTAACATTCACTCCCGGCAAATGTCAAACGATCATATAAATTTTTTCACGCTGCCACTGAATGTTCGAATCGTATTATGTGGTCTGCGAGTGAATATTCGAGTTACATTGTCCGGTCTGCCACTGACTATTCAAGTAATATTGTCTGGACTGCCACTGAATAATTGAGTCAAATTATCAGAACTCGCACTGAATATACATGAGTCATACCGTCTGGACTCTCACCGAATATTTAGTCGATTTTTCGAACTAGCATTGAATAGGTCGAGTCAGATCCTCGAACTGACACTGAATATTCGAGTTTTGAATTCCAGAATGCTACTGATTGTTTGAGCCAAACTATGCCGATTGCCACTAAATTTCCGAGTCCTTTACGGCCGAATTGGGCAAAGGACCACAGGCTTCCATTTCCTCCTCTTCCGAGAGCAGCCGCGGGTCTCAGGTCTTGTGTTGACCGCGACCAGAGCCTCGTCTCTTCGGAAGGCCGCACGACGAACAAATTGGCGAGGCCTGCGTTCGCAGGAATGGCGTTGTCAGGTTGGACACGATAGGCGTCACCATCATCTGGGGAGAAATATGTCACTATTAAATAAATGTATGAACCTAGGTCAATGGTGGCATCATCTGGCATGAATAATTGTGGCATCATCTGGGGAGAAATATGTCACTATTAAATAAATATATGAACAACTAATTCTAAGGGGCTTCTATTTTTTTAATGCATGAAACCACGTACTTTACAGCTCGTGTGAACGGGCCTAAACAAGACTCGTGAGAACTTATTTTTTCATATTGTAAGAGGTACGAGCTCAATCTCATCGAGGGCTTGCGCATAAGTAAAATATGAAATTTACTGAAATATTACATTTACCGTCACCTGAGACCACTATAAACAATTTTTATTTGTTAACTTAGACCATGTGGGAATTAATCCTACATACGCAGCTCAAATTATGATTCAGGACACGGAAAGTGAGTTAGCTGAGCTCAGAAGATGCTGCTTGCGTCCATAATGAAAAATGAAAACTTTGTTTAACTTATATCATTTCATAATATGCAAGAAGGTCTTAAATGTTCACCGGATTAATATTTTATTTGTGCATACCGAATATAGTGCAAGTTTTCAGGTAAAATGAGAGTTGAAAGCTAGGAGCACATTCCAGGCTAAAGACTATTTCCATGATATTTTGGAGTATGTTTCTAGCATTTTCATCGTATTCCTAAGTTCTAGCATCAATGTGTACATTTTCATATTCATATTTTGAATAGTTTTATTTGTATTTACTAAGATGCGCCTAGTATGGTGCTCGGTTTTGTAGCGCTAATTCCAGAATGCTACTGATCCAGAATATCGAGCTTAGGCACAAAATATAGAGCTCAGGCACAAAATATCGAGCGCAGGCACAAAATATCGAGCTACGGTACAAAATATCGAGCTCAGGTATAAATTATCGAGCTCAGGCCGACAAGCCGTTTCCATTGATTCTTTTGAGTTCTGTTTTTTTTTCTGTGCGTTAACCTTAAGAAATAAGAGACTGTGGGATGCCTGAATATTTATTTTCGATCGCAATTAACAAGCATCAAAATATTCGGAGAAGCAGGAAGTGGTTATAATGGTTCAAATAAAATATTTGGTCATACGTTGCCTGTTCAGTGTTCAATGTTTGTTTAGGAAAATGAATTCAATCCTAAGCGTTCTCCATATGAGCAATGAAACAGAAGTGTGATTTACTTGTATATTCATTCATTAGAATTGCACAACATCACTACTACCGCCTGACATGAGTAACCGGAGCAATATTGTCATAAGCCTATACTCCCCAAAAAGGATACGTTCTAGTGAGCGCAAAATGACTCGCAATGATGGTTGCCGCCACGTACGACAACTTTAAAATGTTCTCTGTTGCGTACAAAAGTCCTTAGGTTGCTACACTCAATAGGTTACGTATAATTTAAGTTGAATATTATGCTCCCGGAGAGTGACATATACGGCGGTAGAGGGTTAAATCCGCACCACGTCCACCGGCACAGGTTTTTTAAAGGTTAGTGACGATGTGGCAGCCTGGACTTCGGCACAGATCTCTTCTTCCTTCAACGGTAAGAACAATACTCTCGCTTCTTCTCAGTACCCGCAATAGAAAGGTACCAAATAATGAATTCTTCTAATTTTGAAGAAGAAAACAAATATCTTACATGTCGTGATAGGAATTTCAAAGTCAGGCAACCGTAACGAAATATTCTTCGACTTTTGAAGTTCAGACCACCACTACAGATTAGAAGCCGAGCCTGAGGGTAAAATATTTTTTTTGAACTAGTCAAATATTGTTTAAAGGTAAATTTTTTTAAAGGCTACTGGTTGGAAAAATAGTAAAAAAATGTTGAAACTGTCTTATGTATAATTTGGTACTTTAATCTCATTTAAAAAAATGGGTGGCTTATATAGGCTTCGATTATTTAAGTATTATTACTATGAGAAAATTCCAGAAACTGACAATTTGTAAATACCTGCATCATGGCTAAATGATCTGTTAATAATTGCTGGCAGATCTACTTCACTTCTTTTCAAAAATCACAGGAGAATTAAGTGCGACGAGAATTGTCGGGTTTCTTCGGGTATTTATTATTCGGACGTTCCTGTTCCCTAGCAGATTTTCAATAGGTGTATTTTTATCATGTAACTCACAGCTGAGATAGATTGATCTAGGGCAAGCCGCTTCAACGTAACCTTGCTAGCATAGCTGGTCTAAGGAGAAACCTTAATTGCTGGCGCCATTATTAAGCAATGCCGTGCCAGAGACTGCCGTCAGATTTCTCAAAATTGGAAATAGTCTCGTTTCTCCAAGGAAATGTTTTGCATAATGGTTTGTTGGAGCAGCTGAGTCTGCCTATAAAGTCTGGCTAGGTTTCTTTTTAGCTCGCCTTTTGAAGCGAAAGTTTCGCTCCGTGAACTCATAGCGGTGTTTTGTTCTAGAATATGTTCGATGTTTAATGCCTTTCAAGAGCTATGCGCGCAGCTTGAGATGCTCTGAACTTTGGAATCTACCTGAACATAATTGTGGACACATACGAGAATCATTCCTTCTTGTTAACAGAAACAGAACTTAATAATATTGAATGAGAGATAATTTTTGAATTGCCAAGTTTGCTCGTTGCCATTTGGGTGAAGAGGTTTGCTTATTAATTCTTGATGACCCCGATACGATATTCTGAAGCCATTTTAATTTCTTCATGAACAAACTGAAAGAACAATTGACCGGAAGAAGCCCATTATAAAGGATAAAAATACAAGTTATTCAATTGTATGACGCTTTCACCACTTCTCGAAAGAAAATTGTTTGAAAAGGCCTTTCAGTTCAGCCATTATATAGGTATTCAGCAGAGGAAAGCCTTTGAGGGAATTCAGGGAACGACCGTGAACCTTTTTTTAAATAAAAGTTTTGCCTCTGAAACTAAATATTTTTGTTGTATGAGTCTTGTTCTCAACAGTTGCATTGGACAAAATAAAAACATTCACTGCTCTGCAAACTGATAAAACCAATTGCAAACTGAATGGAATTTCACATGCCTTCAGATTGACATGTAGATTTTCACCGAGTCTAAAGTAAAATTTATATGTTTTTACTTTGTTTTATACGTTTTTGCTTGACATCTCATAAACATCATTAGCAAATAAATTTGGTTTAGATAAATTACGATGACATTTAATTGTTGTCTGCTCAGCAAATGAGAATATTATGTACAAAGATGAGGAGGCAAAATTTGAAATTATATCAAGACAAGATGCTTGTGACGGACTCAATCTCCTCATCGCAATCACCTTTAGAGCTCAATTATCAACGTCACTTGTTGCATCCACGTTTTATTGGATAAGTTGTTGAATAGAAGAGTTTTCTCATCTAGCTGGCGTCTGAGAAACTGAAACGAAACTTAGGCTTCTTCTTTCCGGGAGCCGCTGCCTGCATCAAACGAATTTAAATGAGCCTCGACCTGAGCTTCATTAATTCGTGTTGAGATGCCAAGGCTTTCCCCATTCCTCAAACTCACCTTTGAAGCGGACGATTCATTAGAACAGATTGACGAAGACCAAAATTTCCTTTTTTTGGGCCGGAAAGCTGAGTTTTGAGCGATGAATCTGCATTTTGCTACTGACTTGACCTTGTGAATTTATCCCGACACTTCAATGAATTTTGAGACTCTAAATTATAATGTTCTATAAATTAGTTTGAATACATATTCTAGAACTTATATTTCGACTGTATTTATTGGGAAAATCCGTGAGATCGAAATTGGGGTAGTTTAGAAAGTCTCCACCACTCTGACCCAGTGAATCAGCGTTTACGTGGTTTGATAGGCAGTTTAATTGAATCCGCACGAATAACCTTTTCCAAAATTCAAAGTAGTTGCAGACAAACACTATTCTTGCCGTCAAATGTAAAAAATTAGACTTCCCTGACAATTAAAAAGAGGCTACTGACTGCCAAAGTCAGGTACAATTGTCAAAAACTGCTCGCTCCCAAATTTTGCAGCAAATTTTGCTGTGTTGCGAGAGATCAACGACCCTAAGCGCCTTCAGCTTAAACTCATCAAATCCTGCTTCTCCCTACGAAATTTTCGGCAATTAAAATGAAATATAATTTAGGACCACTTTTCATCAGGGAAAGCCCTCAACACGTTAAGTGCGGCTATGTTGTATTCAGGGCGTATTTCATACCGGTGGTATGGCCACCGAACTCAATATGTCAATTTAAGTATGGCTAGATGTGAAGGTTAAGTTTGAATAATTTTTTTTGTGATAACCGTTGAAAAAGACGGTTTATTTCAAAACAAATAAAAATTGTAAATGTATTTTTTAATAAAAATAATATTTTATAATTCATATTATATTCAAATTTCGTTTTCTTTTAAGAAACTTTTCAGGTTGGAGATAAAATTTAACGCTTTCGATTTGGTACTTTAGAATTTCGTTTTAAAAAAACAACAAAAGCATGAATGTCTAATCAAAACCTATACAATTACGCACTAAAAGCGAAAATATAAAAAAATTACTAACAAATCCTTATAGTACTAAGATATAAAATCATAGAAGCATTGTAATTCATATTCATTGGCATTCGTTGTAATTTTCGAAATTGACACAAGATATTATGTCGGTTAATAGTATTGTCATGCAATCCACACAGTTTGCGTTACATTCACACCATTTTCGTTACAGTTCAGTTAGAGTTTTTAACAGATTTACCAGTTTTCTAAACAATCGTTTCTTACTAAAACAATGACCACAAATACAAGTACAAACGAACTAATACAGTCAGCGTAGTTTTCGACAGAGCCAACTCCGATTAAACCGCAGTCAATTTTTTTCCAGAACAGCTTAAATAACATTCTCTAGAGCCTACATAGTTAGATATACACGTACTGTACTTATTTTCACCTCACAGTACTCATTCCTTTCAACACTGCGCACACTGCTCACCTCGATCACAGTCCACATTCTTTCATTTGCGTATCACGAGAAGTCAGACCTCGTTTTGTGTCCTTTTGTGTTCTTGGAGAGGGATACCAAG